GCTACACATCACCTTCAAGAAATCTGCCCTCCAGCTCCAGCACAGCCATATGATTGCTGGTGCTACATAATTGAGTCTTTCCAGTCTCCGGGCCTCAGTTTCCCAAGTGGAGCTGCTCAGAAAACCACAGAGAAGATACCGGGGACAGGGAAGATGGTGCAGGGGAGGCTCAGGACCCCCCACCCCAGTTCCCTATCTGTAGCAACTCAACTGTCTGCTTCTACAACTATTTAATGTATTTGGGTTCCAAGAAGATTCTGCTGAAACAGATTTTCTGGACTAAATTCTTTCTCGGTCTCTTGGCTCTCTGTCCCAAGGAGCAGAAATAGCCCCATTCTCTCTCCTCACACCAGAGTATTTGTCCTGGAATGCCAACACACAGAGCAAACTCATAGGCTTTCCTGATGCTTTCTGCCCACCTCCCCAGCCTCCTGGCCAAGGAGACAGGTCACCCTCCACAAAGCCAGTGAAACAGGTGGATAGTGCCCGTGGGAAATGATGTTCAAAGGGCCTTCAGGCAGCTGGCAGTTTCCCTAGGGTGTCACTGCAGCAGGGACTCTGCATTAGTGGAAGGAAACAAGTCCCCCACATCAGTATCATTGGGAAAACAGCAGAGATCCTCAACAATCGTGTCACGGAAAAATGTTTCTGCAAGGCTGTAGCTTGTGTCATACTTGGGGGAAAAAAAGACAACCATGTTTTCCTTCCTCCTTTAGTCACATCAAAACAGTCTTAAAAACAAAACTTCATCAGAGGCCAAGTTCCCAGCACACTCTCCCTCATGGTCTTTATATAAGGAGTGGATATCTGTCCCCATGCATGGAAGGGGGAACGGGCACTGCTGGGCACACAGAGCCCTCCTGCTGTCTCTGGCCTCAGGCTTTGGCTGTAGTCCAGGAGCTTCAAGCTGGAAGGCCATGTTCTTGTTTTATTTTGAGAGAGACGGAGACAACATGAGTGGGGGAGAGGCAGAGAGATGCCAAGCAGGCTCCACGCTGTCAGCATAGAGCCCAACGCGGGGCTTGATCCCATGAACCATGGGATTGTAACCCGAACTGAAACCAGAGTCGGATGCTTAACCAACTGAACCACCCAGGCACCCTGCGGAAGGCCATGTTCTAAGCCTGCCTATAAGTGTGTGCTCTTGATGGCCCACACCACCCAGGAGAGAACTCACTGCCCAGCGCTGCATCAGGGTCAATACACCAACTGAGCCCTTGATTCAACCAGGAGACCTGTACTATCTGCATCTCCTATCTGAGAAAATGAAGGTTCAGAGAAGGGAAGAGGCTGCAAAAGCTCAGGGGAGGAAGAGCCAGGAGTGACACAAAGGTCCACAAGTCATTGAGACAACATACGTGTAAGGTTCCTGTGTTCACAGTAGGTGTTCAGTAGTCTGTGCTCTGCTCCCTCCTGTCCTATGCTAAACAGCTTCCCATGCCCCCACCTTTGGTAACTTTCCTCTACAGGTGGTTTCTCACAATCCCACCCCAGCTCCTGTCACTAGCTAAGAACTTTTGCCTGTGGGGCGCTCCCTTGCAGGTTTCTGTCTGAACAAAGAGAAAGCCAAGTAGAAATCTGTGGAGCTCTGATTGTAACAAGCATGCACCTCCAGGAAAAATGCCAGGCCAAGTCCTATGGGAGCCTGATGTGACTTTCCAGCAAAGCCTGGCCCCCGTGGGGTTGCTTGGTGATCACCCATGCCAGACAGCTCCAAGCCAAACACAGAGATGAGTGATATTTTGCCTGGAGTTACACAGCAGGCTGGTGACATAGACCTTTGATTCTGCCATCCAGCACTCCCTCAACAAGAACGCACTTCCTGGATGAGATAATTTAATTAGTATTTGTCCAGCACCCTGCAGTGAAAGGCAATCACCTACCCCTTCCACCCTCTGAAGGGGCTGAGTAATCCACAGTCTCTTGATGCCATTTAATCTAAAACGTCTGGGTGACTCACCTTCCCTGAGATTTCCCTCCAGAGTGTTTACCTTAAGAAAACATCCATTTGTTCCCTAAAACAATTCCTCTTGGTTTCAAATCTTAAACAGGCTACTTAGCTTTTGTTTTGTGCCTGTGTTTGTTTGTTTGCTACGGTTGTTTTTAAAATATGTACATATGCTTATTTATACGTACCTATACATATATAGATACATATATACATATAGGTATACACACATAATATAGAAGTTATATAAATTGTAATAATGGTCTATATATTATATATAGAAATTATATAAATATAAGTAGAGAGAGAGACTAGAATATATACATATATTGAGATAGGCACCATTTTGTGCAGAGAACCCATGACCCTGCTCTAACAGGCCAGCATCTAGCCGTCAGCCCTCTTGGCTTCTATAACCATTCTGAACTGGATGTGGCCAAAGAGATGCAACTGAAGGGATTCCTCAGAGTTGCCCCAACCTCCTCAGAATGAATGATCTCTGCCTTTGTGTGCTTCAGGACCCTAATCCTCAATCTGCTCTCCATCCTAAACTTCACTTTTAGGTCCCCCCCATTTCCCAGCCATACCCTTCAACAGCACCATCGTCCACCAGGAACCATAGCCCAACCCTGCCTTCAAATGCTGCCCTAGGCCTAAGTACTCTGTCCCAGTCCCCCCCCCCCCCCCCCCCCCCCCCCCCCCCGCCCGCCTTGCTTCATCCTGAAACTTCCCAGACCTTGCTTGAATGTACCCTGGGCCTGAATAACAAAACATTTGCTATGGTAAATCCCATTCCCTGCTTTCCAGATAACTTCTCCTTAACAGAGATAAGCTGCCAGGCAGACAGATAACAACTGGGATATGCAGTTATTAAGGTCAGATTTTAAGATGACAAAAGGATACGTTTTAAAATAAAGCCCACTTGAAAATCAGCTTCCCTTCCAACTCAATTACATTCAGGCCTCCTGCTCTGCTCTCCGAAGCTCCTTAGACTGAGAGACTCCAGCTCCCATTGGCTTTGGGGGTATTGGAGGAGAGTTGCCATGGCAACATGGAAGACCCAGACACCTGAAACAGGAAGTGGAGGACACAGTGCCTCTTGGACTCTCAGGCACCTGGAGCTGCCAGTGTGGCCCTCCGAGGCAGGGACCCCCCCCCACAGCCAACGTACCCATCTACTGTGGGGCCTTGTTGAAGCTGAACTAAAAGAAAGGGGATGGGGGCAGCAAGGGAGCCCGCTTGCAGGCAGGGTCTGAGTGTCTCCAGCCTCTCAGGACCACTGGGGGCTGAAGGCATGTATGGCAGCAGATGTGAACAGTCGCTTTGGCAGGCAGTTACACTCTGCAAGCCCCTGTTGTATCAGAGTGACTATAAGGGCTCATCGATGCTGGTTTCTCCTTACTAGGTGGGAGACCTAACACAAACCCACTTCTATTGCCATCCTGAAGGACCCAGACCAATTCTAACCACCCATCCCGGGCCCCCCACCAAGCCTCACAGCTCTGGGCATCCCTAACAGACATCACAATCCATCCGTGATGCCCTTGACATTGCACACCACACCGTGGTCCTCCATGGTTATCACATCATAGTGGCCAACTCACTTTACTATGGCACAACCAAACCTCTGAGCTCCAAAATATCATCACACCATGTTTGTCACTGTTGCACTATGGCCAATTATTGAACCTCCTATTATTTATATGACCAACCTAGGACTCCACCTTCTGTCATAAGATGGACGAAACCCCCCAACTCCCACGTCACACATGGACCCCCAGCCATCCCAGTCTCTCTGTGGGAAGCCAGTCCTCCTCCCGTGTGGTAACTGTTGATCACCCCCGGCATGTCCTCTAGCCCTTACACCCTCCACCATTCTACACATGCATCCTTCTACCTGCTCCTCAAGGAGCACAGCCAAAGAATTCCCTCACCCAGATTCCTGATATCCCAATAAATCACATGTTAGCCTTTCCTGCCCCTCCACTGCCCCCCACTAATGCTGGAGGCCAGGCTAGAGGGCTCATTGCCAAGGGTTTATCCTGCCCTGATGAAAGCTCACTATGCCCTATTCATCTCTTGGGAACTGATTAGTAGAGATAGCTTCCTTTCAAGTGTATAGAAATTTATGTGTTTGTGACTGTATGAGCCTGTGCCTGAGTGTATGCCAACCAGTTAATGTCCCAACAAACACTGGGCCTTATATGTGGACCATTCCTAGGAGTGCATCTAAGCCAGATGGGTGACCTGGCCCTGGGCACTCAGCCACTGGCCTTACCTGCAACCCCACCATTAGCTTCATACCGGCTCACAATGAACACATCTGAGGTTCTTGGACAAATGTTCCAATAACTTTCTTGCTACACTGACTTCTTGGTCCCTATAACTAGTATAGGGACTTACAAGCCTCCCCTTAACTTTGGGCTTTCAACTTGGAGAAAAGGCTGCCTTCATCACCTTCAAGTTTTCAGCCTTGAAAATCTCCCATAGAAGGAAAGAGGAAGATGCAAATATATCACCAGGAAGACCCCAAGCCAGCCACTTGCATTAGCACCAAATAAAGGAGTCTAACCCCACCCTGAACTACGCAACTTATCTGCCTCTCCCGTCTCCCTCCTCTGAGCTCCACTGCTCTCTGCTTCCTACCCTCCTCATGACTCATTTTTCTGTTCATGGCTTTACTCACTCTTAGATCTGGGGGGCACTGGCCATAACCTCAGACCTCTGCCTCAGCCACAGTTACACCTGTCCCTGCAGTTGGGCTAATTTTGGTCACTCTAGGAAAATACATTGTCCCTTCCAGCTTCAGCCTAGGCCTGCATGGTTGGCCATCCAGGGCCGTCCAGGGCAGTGGGACGAGGTGGAGTCTCTGCTGTACTCAGAGACTGTATTAACGGAACTTCATGGCTGAAAACCACCCTGAACCTTCTCCACACTGTGCCCCATAAACATCAGCATCAGTGGCCGTATCATCAGAGAGAGACAGGGAGAAGGACTTCTGTGCTGGCTAACACATGCAGGAGGAGAAGGAGGAGGGTGTCCTGTGGCTTACCTTCCGCATGTCTTTGCCAAAGGTCTCACTATAGGTTGTGCCGAGGATTTCAAACTGGACGTAGGGATTCGAGCTGTCCTCCCGAAACTCCATCACCCCTGTGAGGCCAGTGATGTGGCCCTGCAGGAGAGAAGGAAAACCCATTGAGGAAAATGGATGGAAGGGATGGAATCCCAAAGACAAAGAAAGGAAGGAAGTAGTCACCAAGAAGGGGACAATCAAGATCTTGGGGAAGCACTGGACAGGCTGCAATGAGGACAGGGCTGCTAGCAGTCCTATAGCCTCAGAGCAAGATCGACACTTCCTAGACTGTTGCTCATAGGGGAAATCCCTAAGACTTGCACTTGACATTCATGTGGTCAGTATGATTAGAGTACATGCTCTGTGCCACATATCATACTTGCTATAGATCAAGGAGTGACAGTTCTGTCTCCACCCTCCTGGAGGTTACAGTCTTCCCTTGCATCCTGCTCCAGGGTTCATCTTAGCCCGAGCCAAGAGAAAAGTCAAAGGTCAACAGAGCTTTTGGGCAGCAAAGCATGAGCACTAGAGGCCAACACCAGCTCAAGTCCTGGCTTTGCTGCTCATGCCACCTTGGGCAAGCCATCTCCCATCATCTATCTCTAGCCTGGAGTTAATTAGATTCACATCACAGGGGCTGCAAGGGCCAAAGGATCAGATGTGTACCAAGTGCAGTGTCTGGCACATACTGGATGTGGTAGGTGTGCAAGCCCTGCCCCTCTCTCTAGCCATTCAGTGGGTTCTGTAGAAGCAGGTGGCAGAGGGCTGAGGGAGCCTGTGGTGAGCCCCCTCTCCCTTCAAGCCTAGGATGGGGGTTCCATCTAGGCTGGTTCTCCTATAGACTATGAGCTGGAAGAACTCCAGATCCTGAGCTGACTAAAGAGAGGCCCCAGCTCTGGTTCAGACTGCATTAGATTCAACCAACACCGGAATACACTCACTGCTATTGACACTGTACACAATTTATTGTGACTACAACTCCTAGCACTATAGATTTCCCTAAATGCTCTTTTGAAGCCTCTGAAAGCCAATTCGCTCTAACAAGTCTTCTATGGATTACCCAATTCACTTCAAATTCAGCCTTCTAACTTGGTGTCGTGCCTCAGTGTGTGGAACAGGTCATAAAGGCAGAACACATGAGCACACACATACAAACACACACACACAAGCTAAAGTCTCAGTGATCAGCACACGTACTGCCTACTGAGACAGCCTCTTTTAGAAACAGTGGCCACCTGCATGGTAGGGTATCTGACTCACAGCAGCTGGACAGTTGCCTCCATTATTTGCTTATAATAATAAGAAATATAATAATAATGAACTCTAAAGTCCAATCTCCTTGTAGAGAACAGAGAAAATAATAATAATAAAACATATCTATGAAGCCCAGCTCACCAACCTTCAATTCTGGGAAAGGAAGAGTGATAAGGAGGGGAGCTCTGGGCGGGGCCTTCAGGGGCAACAACACAAAGAGCTCAGCTTCAGAATACCTGCTCAAGGGTGTGTGTGTGTGTGTGTGTGTGTGTGTGCACACACGTGCATGTGCATACAAGGAAGGGCCTGTCTTCAACCTTAGCCCAGTGAGTGTCCCCTTACACACACCTTTTTTATTGTGTCCAGCATGGACCTTCCTCCATTCCATGGCTTGGTGGACTTGCGAATACAATTCAGGCTTGCCATGCTGTGCCACTTCCGGTCCTCCAGCTTCCGGTGGAAGGCATTGGCCAGCATCAGGACACTGTCATACAGGTAGAGGTTGGAGATCTGCAAACACAAAGGTGGTGAAATCCTTTCCACTGATGCATTTTCAGAGAAGGGGAGAAACCAGCAGAGGCCTTGAGTGATCCATGATGCCAGCACTAATGAGTGGTGCCCAGTATCTTCACCACAGTCCTCCAGCTTCTAGTTATCCATTCAAAGCCCAAGCCAGGCACTGGAGTCCTAAGTAGACTAAGAACTAGACCTGCATCAGGAACTAGAGTGGGAAGTGGATCTGTACATCACCAGGAGAACCAGCATGGTCAGCACCATGGTTGAGAATTGCACCCAGGCTTTATGTAAGACTGGAATGGGACATCCTGCTCATGTAACACAGGATGGACAGAAGGATGGGCAGGAAACTTGGTCTAGAATGATTCGTAGGATAAAGGGTAGAGAGCATTATAGGGAGGCAACATTATGCAAAGGCATGAAGGTACAAAGGAGTGGAGTCAGGTAGGGCAGGGTCCACCAGCATTGACCAGATATGAAAGATTTTAGACTTTGTGGAACTTATACTGTCTTTTGCAATGCTCAGCTCTGCTCTTACTGCAGAAAAGCAGCCAACGACAATATATAACAAAGGATGTGCCAATAAACCTTTATTTAAAAATTAGGCAATAAGCTGGATGGAGCCTGAGGACCATAGTTGGTCAAGTCTTGGGGTAGAGGGACTGAAAACAGTGCCAAATACCTGTATTAATGGGTGTAGTAGAGACGA